CTGGTGGCTCCGAGCGGCCCGGGAAGGCGGCGAGCTGCAGGAACCCGGGCAGTGTGTGCAGCAGGCTCCCGCCGGGGCTCCACATGCCTCGGCCCCGCACGGGCTCTCAGGCGGCCAGGGCCTCCGCGGCGGCCCCGGTCAAGCGGCGGCCCTTCATGACGTCCCGCACACCCGGCCTCGACTCCCGGTGTCCGCTGTGGGGTCAGGCGCTGGCGCCAAGAGAGGACGATGACTGGGGCGGAGGGGCCGTCCGGGAGAAGGAGAAAAGTCTGGACCCCCGGCACCGGCCGAGCCCGCCCCTTCGCCGCCACGGGGGGCGGGACCTCGTTGTGCGAGGGCGGGGCCCGGCGGGACCTGCATTCTGGCCCCGCCCCCATGACGCACAGTCTCTGGGGGCTACGGGGGTGGAGAGGCGGGAGGGGCCTGAGGTTAGCGGAGATTGAGGGGGGCGGGCGGGGTCCCTGGCACTCTCCCGGCTGTCCCTCGCGGGCGCACGGAGCAGAGTTCCTGGAGCGCAACGTTCTCTAATCCAGTCAGTAGCCTAATCCAGTCAGTAGCCTGCTGCCTTAGTGGCTCAATACCCATTTGGTGGCTTCTGCAGTGACCTTTGATCACAGCGGCTGCTCTCTGGGTAGCTCATTTACACAGATCCTTTGGAGGCACTGGAGGGGAGAGTTCCTGATTTAATCTGAGGAGGTTTTGCTGGTGGTCTGTCTCTACAGGATTTGAGGTCACCGGGTGGGTGCAGGACAATTGGTCCTTAAGGAACTGAGGAAATTGGGTACAAAGGCTACCTACCCAGGGCGGATGCCCCTTGTGACTCGCAGCAGTCCTTTTTGAGTTATAGACACTTGAACTTCTCAGAAAGGTTCACAAAGGACATTCTTAAGGGTTCACAGTATCAGGTGACTCTTCTTAAGTGCTTTTCCTTGTTTCCTTCGATCCCTTTAATGTTGTGTTCCGTGGGTCCTCTTTCCTTGCTTTTGGGAGTTCATGGAGACATCTCATCCAAGCCTATAGCTTTGAAGTCACCCTGTCTCCCCCATAGGGAGATGACCAGGACGATGACCAGGAAGTCTGTCTTTTTGCCTTTCCTTCCCTTGTCCTCCAACTTGTGGATATATCCAGGTGAAGTTCCTGTAAACGCCTCAAATTCAGCATGGCTTAGTAGATAGATATCAATTTGGACTCTGGTGAAAAGCAGACTTAGTACTTTTTAAGTGGTGAAACCATGTCTAAATTTCACTGTTTTTCAACTGCAAAATGAAGATGTTAATACAACTTTGCCTCATGAAATTATTGTGAGGATTAATTAAAATAATAAAGATTCCTGGTGCCATGCCTGTCTGGAATCAGTTTCCAATCATTAAAAGTGTGGTCCTCCCATAGATAGCTCTTCCTTTTGAGTTCCTTATTCAATGGATGAACTTCCACACTTACATAACTTACATAACAAATAACCAAAGAGGACCTTTGGGTTGTTGCTGATCACTTGTTGCTCTCTAAGGCACTTGTTCTCTATCCACAGCTGATTCCTTCACTTGCTTTTCCAATTCCTATGATTCACACGGAGGCGCAAATCTTACTACCCAGTCTTGTAGCTGAAGTTTAACTTCCTCTCTAGAAGCTCCTGCCACTTGCCTCCTATCCACACCACATCCAATTTGAGATTTCTGTTGCATTCCCACTCTACTTGTTACATCATCTACTCCCATTTTTCCATTGTGTTGTAGTTTTTTGTTTACAGCACTATCTACCTCTTTAGAATGAATTTCTGCAAGGTGGACTCATTACATATTTAATATAAGGAGGAGTTTTTAAATATGTGTTGAGTGAACAAATGATTGCACTTTATAGGGGAAAATATGAAGGCAGGAATACCAGAGAGGAGGCTAACAGCAATGTGTGGGCAAATCATATGGAGAAAGACAATGCCACGTGATTTCACTGTTGTGTGAAAATAACCAAAACAAATGAAGAAGCAAAACAAACTCATGCTATAAAGACAAAATGGTGGTTACCAGAAGGGAAGGGGGAGGAGTGGGGAATCAGTTAAAAGAGGTCAATTATATGGTAGCACATGGAAACCAGTCTTTAGTGGGGATCATAATGTAGTATGCATTGAAGTCTAATTATAATGCTGTACACCTGAAACCTATACAATGCTATAAACCAACACTACTTTGATTTAAAAAAAAAAAAGATTTAGAAAAGAATACATAAGGGGCTGAAGGAAGACATTGGTAGGGCAGGGATAAATTAGAATTATCTGTGAACTTGGTGCCTTGTTAGGTTTTGGAAGAGAAATAGGAGAAGTCAAAAATAACACCAGAGTCTCTTGTTTGATGAAGCAGACACCATGGGGCCACTGGCCACCAGAAAAAAATACAGCAATTGTGTGGTGTGGGAAAGATGCAGTGTTTAGTCTTGGTATGCGACACTAGGGTATCATCCGATTGTGTCATTCAAATGGTGGTTGAAAATTTGGATAAGTGGTAGACATGGACATCTCCCCTAGAGATGGCATATACAGGCAGCAGTGAAGGTTGTGGTTATGGATGAGTGAATGGTGGTAAGTGTGCCAAATATTTGCTGGTCCTCTTTAAAGTACATGGTAGGATTGCTTTTCCTGAACTCCTTGAGCTCCTGGACACATTCTGTTCATGAATTGTGAGCACAGCATTTTACCTGCTGATGCAAGACCTTCCAGAACTCTTTCACTCCTTGCCATGGCAATCAGCAATGTTCCAGAGAGTAGACCACAAGCAGACTTGATCTGTAGTAGAGTCTGAAGTAGAATAGAGTCCAGCCACCTTCTGATGGTTATTTAAAGTGAGTGAAAATAAACCTTGGTTATTTTAATCCACTGAGAGTTGAGGGGTTCACTGGTTATCAGAGCAGAGCTTTGTCATTTCTGACAGATGTGAACAAGAAGGGGGAAAAAAAAGTCTGTGGATACCAGTGTGATCATGAAACTCTGGTTACAAGAGAGCCCCAGACATGACTACCTTAATTTAAAAAGTGGAAGCAGGGATATTTACATAGAGTTAAAATAGCTATTAAGAACCAACTTACTGCTAAAAATAAACTCTTCTCATTTCTTTCCTGTTGTATCTCTGTTGTTTATCTTTTTGAACTGTTTTCATATAACTGACTGCTAATTGATCCTCTTCTTATCTGCTAACGCACATGTCAGAGGAGTATAATTTGGTGGCAAGAGCCCCTATCTTTAAGCCATGTCACTGGCTGTCGCCAGCCTGTGATCAAACCCCTCTGTACGCTGCCTATCCACAGGTCCAAACAATGCCACCGCCATGCAAAGGACCACCCAGCTCTCCTGAACATGAGATCTCTGATCTTGACAAAACTATAAAGACATTGCTATTCTTGTCCCATCAATATTTTTCACAGAACTGTGAAAGTTACATTTTTTCAAATGGAAAAATTGAGATCTTAACCTAAAAACACACCAAGGTCCCACCCCTAACCTACACCTACCTGTTGCATTAGCAAAAATACCCAACTGCCCTGGCTGACAATGTCCTTTATGATCTAGCTTCCACTTACCAACCCTACCTCAACTCCTACAGCTTCCCTACAGCCACACTGGCCACCTCTCTCTCCCTTGACCCCAACTGGTTTCATCTCAGATTAATTTTATCTGCTCTTGCTGATCTCTCCTGTTTGAATACCATGCTTGGAAAGCTATTTGTATTTTCTTTTCTTCTTTATATCACTTTAAGCTCTATGACAGCCCCCCAAATCTTCATCTAAAGTACTGCTCTCTCTGGACTGCCCTCTCTAATGAGCCAGAGACATGGTACACTTTTCTTTACTGCACTATTACCATGCAAAACTGCCTTTTATAGTTATTGCTCTACTATCTGTCTGATGAAAGGAGAAGGAAATCACCTGAATATGGGTATCTTTTCTGTCTTGAGATCCCTGTATTCCATAGAATGGTCCCTGGCACACTAAATGTTTTGAGTAAATCTTATAAGTAGTGTGCAATTGTGCTCATATTCTCTTCTGATCCTCCACCCAGATTCATTGTCTTTCCTCTTGTCTATATCAAGAGGTTGGCCTTTAAGTATTTGCATAAGCTAGCCTCTGTTATGCTCTGGGTTTCCATATAGGTTTGACAAATGAGGGGTGCCAAGAGAAAATTGAGGAAGAGGTGTGAGAGGTAGGCTGGGTTTTTGTCTCTTCCCAGCCTGGCTTCACTGTGGTTTTGGCAGTGACTGGATTCTTCCATGGGCAGCCTTCCTGTGGAGGGCCTCATTAGAAAGATCCCAGCCCTCTCCCAGCTATCACCATGGTTTCCTGATGTTTGTGATACTTTCTTGGTTCGGTTCCCTTTACTGTGGCTGCTGTTTCTGGCTGAAAACTTGACTGACACAAGTGAGCAGGTCAGAGACTGATGAGTTCAGTTCAACCAGTGCTTGAGTTGTCACTTATGCAAGGCTACAAGGAGAAAGTGATAGACTCAGATTTCAAATTCAAAGGAACTTCAGGGGTTATGAGGAAACCAGGATCAGCTATTGTACTGGGAACCCAAGAAAGAGAATTTAAGAAGGGAAGGTCAAGAGCACCCAGTATAGCACAGGGTTCAGGATGAGAGGACCAGGTGGTACACCTTGGGCAGCTTTCTTAAAAGTAGCCTCTAAGTCTGAAAGTACTAAAGGAAAGTGCTCACAGTGAAAAGCAAATTGCCAAGTTTGAGAGTGACTGAAAGTTAAGTATAAAAGAATGGATTTTGACAGCTGCTTTGATTATCTTGACAAAATGGACAAAAGAGATGGGAGTGGTGATGAGTTAATACACGG